TACATAAAAACATTATTCATGCCAAAAGATATTGAAAACATCAGGAAACGTAAAATAAAGTTCACTAAAAGATATATGTAATGGAAGAAAGTATAAATGATGATGAATCTAATTATATAAGTGAAGAATGATACACAAGTACCATACAACTGAAGTTTACAGCTAATCATTTGAGGTATTTCAGTCAGTAGTGTCCAAGTAATCGTTACAAAAACTTATGACACTTCAAGCACTGTCGAGAATGGAGGCCTTTAAAAGAGTTGTTATTGTAGAGACTTGTATTTGCGTCCTAATTGTGATTATCAAAGATTCCTGACATATAACATAAATCTGAGACAGAAACAGAAAATGTGAAAAGTACAATGCTGATTCTTTCCAGACATCGGTACAACAACCTATGTGATTGATAAAGGTCTGATGTTGGCTTTCAGTGCTTTATTTGAGTCTTGGAATTATCCACGCTAACCAGTGCTACAGTTTTTTTGTAGCTCAGCGTTTTAGCAATATATGTAAAAATGTAATTGACTTGAATAGATATGGGTATTCATGAAAAATTAACTTCTTCTTCTCATTATTATTATTATTATTATTATTATTATTATTATTATTATTATTATTATTATTATTATTATTATTATTATTATTATTATTATTATTATTATTATTATACAATCTTATAAACTTTCCTTTATAACCCGGACTTTTTTCATGTCCTTTCTGACCCGATACTGGCCTTTCTGTATCTTTTTAATCTGATCATTTTCCGTCCTTTCTGGACCTTTATCCAATATCTAGTATATTTATTTGCACAGTTGATGCAATGACCTGTGGTGCGCTAGTTTTTATATCTCAGCTGCCAATAATATTGAGCAAAATTGCAAACTCTTGATACAAAAAGATATCAAGAAGGTGCTAGTCGGACCGATTATACCCCGAAAATTATCGAATGGTCTGACTGCTTTAGAATATTGTTTAAAGGAAAAGATTAATAACAAGTTGTTGGGAATGAGATTTAAAGAACACAACAGGATAGTCTTTCGCCCTTGCCTACATTTTAGGCCTTTCGTAAACCCCTCCTCAACTTTATTATGGTGGCTTGCCTGGTTTTGTTTATCGTTATCTAGAGGTGATCGCCGACGGTGCAATTTGCCCGGAACGAGTAAATGTCAATATATAAAGTATGAACTTAAGGGTGGAATAAATAAAGATCTGAGCAAATATATAGCACAGAATAACACGAGCACCCGTTACAAATAAAGACAAAAAAAAAATGTAATCAAAATTCACAACAGTAAAATTCATACAATATTGTGATAAGCGTTATAATATGAAACTTCTTTCTTTTTAATCAAATTATTCCAGGAATTTCAAATATAATTAGGATTATATCAATTGCTGATCTGTTAAATAATAGAACCAAATCATCAAGCCGATGTATCAACTCAGTCCAATTAGACGCCGACTGTTCCTTTTGACTTCCTCGTGTCGATAAGTCTGGGTCTTTTCCACTCCTTCCCTTCCTTTTCCAAATTCTTAGGGATTTTGCCTCTTTCGACCCCTCCAACTTTGTGTAGCCAGTTTGGGTTTGTAATGCGTGAGACGTCCTGTCACGTCCGGTAAATATGACACGTTAAGATATCTCACCTTGTAAAAATATAAACAAAAGCACACTAAATCTTCCGTCACATTATACTGGGGATATATCATTTCTCTCACCCCTCGTTAGGTCAGATATAATTCTATCGAAATTCAAACAGACCAATGAACATCTAGTCTAATTGGTCATGAAAGACCACACAAACCTATTGTTACAAAATTAATGGTCGGCTAAGGGCCATTTTAATACTCCACTAAACCTTAGTTCCATACTAGTCACATTATACAAGAGAATAAATGAAATTCATTACACCACGATATTTATAACAACAATCAAGTAATTATCCTGCATGGACTCATATCGGATAATTCACACGGATTCTCGTAAAATCAACTAAAAGAAGACATGAAATTCTAGATACAAAAACCTGTATATCAATAAGGCATGAAATTCTAGATACATAACTTGCTAGAATAATCGAGACTAAACCTTAAGCGAGCCGTCAGTTCAGTGTATATATAAAGAAAAATATCACGGTGCGGACTCAAATAAAACACACCGGTTTCACCAGATCAAGAAAATTGATCTACGAATTTAAACAAATAAATCCAAGTAAATACAAACAAATATGTCGTACAAATCATCATAGTAGCATTAAGGAATTCAAAAAATTGATGCAAAATACCTTGTGATTTCAAGATTTTGCGCCTGTCAATTTCTCCAGACAATCGTCTTCCCTGGATGATTTTACGAGTGAATTTTCTTCTTAAATTACTCGGAGTCCTTTACGTTCTCACGTTCGTTTTCTAATGTAGAAAACCGAAGACTAATTTTAAATTCGCTCTTACTACATTTAAACAGAGTTTTGATGTGAAACCAAGCTCCTTCACAGTGTCCAATGTGGATTAAATATAATTACAGCCTGAACTAGCCTCAAATCAATACAGTTCGTCTGGCAACATCGGTTACCAACTGATTCCTGGTAACTTTCAGAAATGACAGTTTACCATGCAGATTAGAAATGACCCTATCTAGTTCAGTTTAGACAAACGTAGCCCTTAATTAGATATCGCTAACTCATGACATAGCCTCTATCAAACCGTGCATTATGGCGAATTAAACACTCGCAGTTCACCAAAAAAGTAATTCATCATACACGGGTCCAACTAAAAATTTTTTACAGAAAGCGGATGATACGCAATTAAATACAGAGGGCAATAAGTATTTGTACGGATATATCCGTTTTAATATAAAGAAGCATGTGTTAAATACTTAAATCCAATTTTAACACCCGCTGAACAAACGGCCCTTTTCAGGGCCACACGAAACTGCAAGCGACGACACGCCCTCAGTTGTCAGTTTCGGAAACAGCAACGTTTATATAAGCGTTGGCTGGCGACGCTTACATACATACATACATACATACATACATACATACATACATACATACATACATACATACATACATACATACATACATACATACATACATACATACATACATACATACATACATACATTACATGCTTACATGCATACATGCATACATGCATACATGCATACATACATACATACATACATACATACATACATACATACATACATACATACATACATACATACATACATACATACATACATACATACATACATATACACACACACATGCACACATACTATTACTTGAGACAGTTGGACTGTCATTTTTGTAATAGATTTTGGCTTAGTGATTTATTACAGAAAGTTAGGACTTAATTTTTCTGACATATATCAGGAAGACTAATCTTTTAGAAAGTTGGACTTTATAATTTTTAAAAGAAAGTTGGAATTTATCATACTTCAAATAACGTTCACCAGTTTCTGACAGGGAAATTTAAGGCTGAACATTGTAATTTTCTAACAAATTTGAACTTAGTCATTATCACAGAAAGTTGGACATTGTCATTTTTCGGTGGAAGTCAGACCTTGTCCAAGATAGATTTATGTCATTTTCAAATAACGTTCACCAGTTTCTACTTTGATATTTTTTAAAATTTTGTTTCGCATTTCATCCAGTTTCTGATTGATATGAGTTGCTGTCCACAAAAATGTGGTTGTTGCACCTCTCAACGACAATACGCCGACAGTCATGGGTGAGTACCCCTACCCCCATTTCTAAATATGATTTGCATAACAATCTTCATCAAATCACTTCCCGTTCTGTATGAAGGTAGAGAGTACAATAAGTACAAGAGAATGACAGACTATTCAGTGATAAATGTCATTCAAGCGCACGGAAGATGCCAGAAGAAATATTAAAAAGGTTTTGTCCTGTTTGCCAACCACACATTGTTTTACAAAATGTGGTCCTTACACCACTCCGCGACGATATAGCTGACAGTCATGGTAAAGGACTCGAGCTACCAATTCGTTAGGCAATTTCTATAACCATATTTATTAAATCACTTTACATTTTGGAGACCAGTTCAGTCACAAGTTTTATAAAATCGTTCCAAGTGTTCTTTGTTTTCATGGTCGCAGGAAAATGGAGAAAGATCATAGGATCGGAAGCCAGGAGAAATGGTAGAAACAGTGGCTGTCCTGTTCGCCAACCATCTTGTCCTTACAAAATGTGATTGTTACACCTCTCGGCGATGATGAGACCGACAGCCGTGAGAGAGGAATGATCCGAGAAGCATATAATACAAATTGCCTTCAGTGTATTTATTACCATTCCATTCCCAATCCAGAACCCACACAGTTCACTACTACTATTCTCGCATTTCAATTAAAATTTGTCAAATTGTAGTTTTGACAAAGAAATTTAGTTACACTTGATTTATAATGAACATATTCCATTCAAACACTCGCAAATACGTGGTATTCCTTTCTACAGTTGAAAAATATCCATAAACACATGGCAATTTTGTTATCATGCAACGGCCAAACTTAGCTCATGTAGCTTATGAAAAAGTTTGAGCTTTACCAAATTTTGCGCCTCGACTGTCCACACATGATGGCAAAATCCGACCTCGAGCACAATCTTGCTCCTCGACTGCCCTGACTTGAAGGAAAAATCAGACTAAGCCAGGTTGATATAAAATTTCAATTGATTGTACCGTTTGTTTGAAAAAATTATGCCACTTACTTTTACACTTGGCAGTCCTTCTGCCTTTTGTCGAATCGATTGTAATGACTCTATCGGATACAATTAGCACACAAGCGTAATAATTAGCAGCTCCTAGAATCACTTCTGTGTTTAGGCCAAAAAGAAATATCGGGTAAAGTTTCTTAAACTCTGACTAAACTGATGTCACACCTAGTCAAATTATCCTGACACCAGGCCGACCAGTCCTAACACTAAATTCTTAATGCTAAGCGCAAGCAATGAAGCAGTTAGCACCATTTGTGTAAGTATTTGGTATGACTCGGCCGGGGTACGAACCCACAGCCTCCCGCATCCGAAGCGGACGCTCTAACTACTAGGCCACCGTAGCTATCTGTTATTTGATTCGATCTTTCTGTGAACGCTCTTCGTTGAACGTATCCCTCATTAAATAATTAATTTCGATTATATTCATTGTATTTATTATCATGTTTACCATTGCTAACAGTTCAGTTACATCAGCACCAGCAGGTACAGTATTTCTGAGAAAATTACACGTGTTTTATCTGCGAAGTCCTTGTAGCAGCTTCATTCACATCTGCATCTGGTGCAGCAATTCCAAATATGCCAGCATTTGCGATAAGAAAGTCTCTTACTAAAACTGCTCTTGTAGCAGCATCAGCTCTAGAAGCAAGTGCTTCAAAATAAACAAATTCGTGTTAAGCTGTATTTCTTTATGTGTTACAACGGATTGTGAGTAGTCGTTGCTGAACGACACAAGGCTAAAAATAGTACATGTTACTGGAAAAAGCATAGAAGTATGTTTTACACTTTGATCAGCTAGTTGATATTTTGCGCTTTTGAACAAACTCTAACCGTAAATGCAATATTATCTGGAGCTGCTACACCAGCTGGTGCTGTTTTATACTACCTCTTATTTCAAGTACGGCTTGATTCGTTAAGTGTATTAAAAGTCTTAATTTCCATTCTTTTGGGCTTATTTAAATTTTCATAAAGATACTTTACGCATTCGAATTCTCTTGTTGAATTAGCTGTTATTTTTTTTTCATCAGACATGTTCCATCTGTAATTATTTGTTAAAATCGCGAGCGTATTACACGTAAACGCGAAAATAACAGCGAACCGCACCGCGGTCTTAGGTCGTAGTTAAGTTACTAATTTTCTAACAATTTGTTTTTGCCTGACGGAGGTAGCAGGTTTTTTTTATATTGTTTTTATCAACGCCATAGCTGTTTTTGATGTTGGAACTCTTAGCAGCTTTCAATATTGGAGCTATTTCATAAATAACTTGTTTCATATCCATGTCCGACATCTATACCTGCTGAAGGTACAGCTCCTGTGGCAAAATCTTTTGATGCGTCTAATGCATTAGTGCTACTTTATTTACAATTCCATGTATCTTTTCAATTATTTTAGAGAATATATATCCGACGAAACCACTTGGATTTTTCTGCGATACAGATTTTGTTGTTTCTGATTTTGTTGTTTTATTTTGTTATTCAGAACTCTCCGATAAAATTTATGAGCAGAGATCACTCCATCAACTAGTTAACTGAGATCACATGCAGATAATATGTCACAAATTTCATTACTGAGACTGAGCGGTCGACCTGACTGATCAGCTAGCGTCATTGTGATAGATGATATTTGATTTTCGACACTAACAAGATAATAATCAGTCTTGGATTGACTTAGATTAGCGAGGCAGGTGGAACAAAGGGACTAAACGAATAAATTGTTTGCTTATGGCTACATCGTGCTAAATACGATCCTAAGGAAATTTAGCAGTTTATTAAAATCGTGTTTATTTAGGTGATGCTGACAGCTGATTCACTATCATATGGTATTGTTGTAACTATTACAAATCTATGCTGTTGTTTAATGAATCCGAGTAATGATCGGATTGTATCTTGTTTACTGAAGTCGATGAACAAGTTTTTCAGCGTTTTTCTTGAATGTAATGGTTATAATTTGGCATGAGCTCAAAATTATCAAATGAGATACCGCTACTGACAGAAGTTATGATATATTTTATTGTTTTGTTGAAATAATCAAGGTTGTAAGCACCCTGTAGTATCTTAATAAAATTTAATTCGATAGCATCTTCTTTTCTTACTGTGAATGCAAACTCATCATTGATGCTAGTTTTAACATTTGCCATTAAGCGCCAGACAGTAGGGAGATACTAATCCTATTTCATGTCATTTATCACTGTTAAGTTCAATAACTAGGTTGTAAAATATAGTAGAGTTTGAACTGTCAGCCATAGTCTGAGATGAGTCAAGCAGTAATGTAGTTGATAGCATTCTTATTCTATCTGATAGATAAAAGTTGGAGTACTTTGCGGGTAGCAAATCAAATCGCTTTGTATATGCAAAATATAATATTGGTCGGATGTTAGATAACTGTTTGATCTGAGATTATCTGAAATTTCAATTTATGTGCCCACATTTCCTGCTTCTTTTTATAAGATTAGTAGCGTTAGTTGATCAACTATTTCAGTGTGAGAGTGAAAGATTTTCAGACCTTTACCAAAAAATTAATGTGGTCTTTTTTGCCAATCTAGTCAGCTCCTCTAACGTACTGAGAATATTTCCATCGACTAGAACAAGCCTTTATAATTTTTTAAATTAATCGTCTCTTTTTTTGAACATTGGATATAAAACCGTCTTATCAGTCTGTAATTTTTCTCAGCTTCATCTGGTGATGATGAGCTATAAATTTTCAAGAGAGTCTCATCACCACTCTTTTTCATATCATCAAATAAATTCATTAAATTTGCTCTTATCTCCACAATCCACCACATTATTGTAGTGTCCATAATCTGCTAAAACATAAAATTCATCATGCTCTTTATCCTTAATTTGTTTGAAAGAATTTGTTCAAACCATCATCGATAATATCATAAATGTTGTTTCTTTTTAGTCTGATATCTTTCTTGATATTTTAGTCTGATATCTTTCTTGATATCTTCAGGTAATAACTCATCAAGTTTTAAAAAATAGCAGATATGATAATATCTCATCTGAAGTATACGACAAGTGCAGAGATTTTCTTGCTGATCATGGTAATATTAATTGTGTTGCTTTGGTTGATATAACTGCTGCTGAAAATACCTTCACTGCGCCAATTGAAACAATAATCAAAAGAGTTTCCTAATGTAAATTTTTTTTATTGATTTCAGTCATATCTTATCAGGTCTCGCAGACAACGACAGGGATTAGGGGATAAAATATTACAAATATTTTTATTAAAAAAAAAACTCACTGCGTCAGATGTGCTAGAATAATATGCATTATGGATTATGTTCCAATGATGCTAAAAAACAACTGGAATTGCGTCAGCGGGCGGAACAGCAAATTCATTGCTCCTGATAGTGTCACGAGCAGGAATTTATATTATCAGTAATACAATTTTAAAACAAATCGAGCCAAAATAAGAGAATAAAAAATACTTTCTGTAAAATATCAATAGCGACTTATACTAAAATTCTTAATCAACTTCGGGCTTATCATAAAGATGAAAAGTTTATTATGTTAGATCTGATACAGGATCTCCGAGTCAAAGACGATTTGCTTGTTGATGTGATATCAAACATGCCTGTGAAACACAAAAACTATACTCGATACATTCTTTATGAAATGGGAAATATGGAAGATATTACAGTCGATGATACCACGTTAAAGAGGAAAATATATATTTGTCGAGGTTAGCATAGGACGATTATGCTTGACAATGAGAAATATAGCACGTATTTCAGAAACATAAATAAGATAAAGTTGTCTCTTATTCGCAAGGACCATTCAGATTATTATGGTAAGATCACAGTCGATAACGAACTAAACAAGAGTTATGTCGATAAATCAATAGTCTCACATGGAAATTATATCAAGACGTTATAACTTGGAGCTCTCATTAGTGGTAAGATTAATTTGTGTTCATTTGGTATGAAAATGAGTTATATTATACCAAAAGCTGAGACTTTAAAATATTTCGACAAGCGGTTGTGTAAAATATTGTGTGAATGTTAAATAAAGTAAAATTTTGTGTGTGATTTAAAAAATAAATGACTGAAGTGAGCATAAAGGGGCTTGTTTCTGAGCCAATCCTTTTTTGTCTATCGACGATGATGATTTCCATGATAGGTTCTCGAGTTAGGTAATCACGCATTTGCCTCAACAAAACCGTTTTCGTATTTTGTTTACACTATCCTGATTGAATCTTGGAGGGGTTAAGATAATGCTGTCGTCTAAGTACACAATAGAGGTTTGGCCCAGAATCTCCTTTACTTTTCCTACTGAATTGGAGAGAGAGAGAGAGAGAGAGAGAGAGAGAGAGAGAGAGAGAGAGAGAGAGAGAGAGAGAGAGAGAGAGAGAGAGAGAGAGAGAGAGAGAGAGAGAGAGAGAGAGATCAGTCAATAATGATACGTTAGTGACACAAGCCAATATCTGGCAATCAATAGCTACAAGCACATACAAAAAAACTAGAATTTAAAGTGATAAGCATGCAGAGTTTTAAGGCATTAAACAATCTTTGAACTATCAGCACAACGGTCTTGCACAATCTGTGTAGAATGTGACGATTTCCTCACATTTGAGGAAAAATCGAAACTTTTATTAAAAACAAAAAAAGTTTGCTTCTCTTAAATTTTAATCCAAAACTTTATTATCTAATTTTTTACGATTTTTTTTCTGGCTACAAAAATATTGATATTAACTGAAGCATTATAAGCAACAACAACAACAACAACAACAACAATTAAAACGTAAATTTAAGGGTAAATTCTTAAACTTTATGTGAAACCGCTGTCAGGTGATTTTCTTTCTATAAGTTTAAATACTTGCCTTTATATAACCAGAAATCTCATTTAATTGAAAAATATTTACGTGATTTTGTTTAAATAGGCTTTTAATAGTAAAAGATTCAGATTGAACTATTTCAAATCTACTGTTGAATCAACGAAGGCGTGGTCTATTATTATATTGAAAACTATTTGTTTCGTGCGCTTGCGCTAAATGTTTTTGTGTTAGCTAGTTCCGGTCCACATGATAAAATTAATATAGATAAAGTGTGCAAAATTCATTCATGGTTTCGGTTAGTAACTGATGGTGAAGGTGAGTTTTCATACTTGTTTCTAAATGATGTTTTAAAGCACAGTCACATGGTGTTCCAGTAATTTTAATGAAGTCTGTCTGTTTCAGAATAATTATTTCAGTTTTTCGTCTTTCATAGATCACAGGTACTCGACGCGAGCCTGATGTTGAAAAAAAATATCCCAAAACAATAATCTTAAGGAAAAAGTCATACAGATTGACAAACATATCTCAGATTACCCCATCCCCATAGGGGTAATATGAGGTATTTTTGTCA